TAGATAGATAGATAGATAGATGATAGATAGATAGATAGATAGATAGATCCTGGGCATATGAAATTGGTCCTTATAGCTTTGGGGAAGTGAAGCTTTGTCAGGAAAAGAATATAATAAACCTTACATTCTATGGGAAGTTTCTGTTACTATTTTATGTCAGTAAATTGCAAGTTAAGCATTATAGTGAAGTTCATATCTAATCTAGTAAAAGAAATGCAACTGGATGGAATGTGGGCTCTTAGCAAGAAGACATCAGCACCTCCAGTTTTCTACCCGTTCTTTCCATAGTGCAAGGCGTGCAGTTCACCATGGACAGTGCGTGGAAGATGGTCTGGGGAAAACGCTACTTCTTGCTCAAGTGCAGAAGAAAACTGTTTTCCAATTTGCAAATTATGTATCAGACATTTCCAGGATGCTTCTTTGTTAAGAAACTTAAATATTCTATTAACCTGGCAGGGGAGGCACCATGATGAAGGTGGTTTTCCCAGGATGAGGCTTATCCATTGCACTCCAGATGTGCTGACCCCTACGATTTCCCCAAATGCGGGAAACTTGTCTGAATAATTTGTGGTAGTGGGTGACTGTGTTCTCGCTCTCTCCTGAACAATAAAAAAAAAAAGAAAGAAAGAAAGAAAGAAATTTAAATATTAGTGACAGTCATACAAAATTAGCAAGATGGATGGTCTAAGACTAGTAATAGTTCACATGATAAATCGTTTTGAGGACCAGAATTCTCTTTTTTCGTGTTGTTAATTTTAGTTCCAGCTTTATTACAGAGTTAATATATGAGTGTAAGGAAAATTTAGGTTTCACTAATACAGGGTGGGGTTGTGCATTCTTCAAGCATGACACTGGCGTTTTAAGGAGCATTATGACAGAATATTTTCATTATCTGTCAACATGTCCAATTTGCTTTAAATAAATAAAGGTACATTGAAATGGCAGTAAAAATAAGCCTAAAAGCAATTATCATACTGTTATAAAATAGTGATTAAGAATTATTTGGGGGAACTGGGTGTGGTGGTTCATGACAGTAATCTCGGCACCCAAGAGGCCAAGGTGGAAGGATCACCTTAAGTTTGAGGCCTTTATGGGTCACAGAGTGAGTTCCAAAGTGACCCTGCCTCAAAAACAAAACAGAAACAAAGCCCAAAATAATTATTTTGACGGCTAGATATACAACTCAGTGGTAGGAGAACTTCCTTAGCACTTGTGAAATCCTGGGTTCGATCCCCAATACTTCCCTCAAATTACTGTGGTTATGATCCACACTTCAGACCATAATTTATATCATGAACCTCTGTGTGTATTATAAGGGTTCATGTAGGTACATGCTTCATAACATGCAATGGCCCCTCTTATTTTCTGTTCTGTTTTAATTTATTTAAAAATGGTGGTTGGGACTTCCTGAACAGATTTCACAACCTACTAAGAAACAAAAGCTTAGAATTTGGAAAAAGAACCATAGGTTTAGCTAGTAATTGCATGGGCTCTGATTTTTACTTTTTACACTTTTTTTAGTGATGTGACCCAGGCTGGCTTGGAACTCACTCTATAGCCCAATTGGCCTTGAACTCCTCCTCTTCTTACCTCTGTCTCCAGTGCTGAGACATCCTTGATTTCTTCTACTCTGTCTTTCAAAACTTATGCTCAGCTTTTCTTTTCTGCTGTTACATATTTAAGGTCTCTTTTGTTCTTTCTGATTTTTGTAAGAGCATCTTATTTCTTTGCTGTGGTATATTCTCTGTCTGAGGATGTCAGTGATAGTCTTCTCTGTATAGTCTACCGTCCTCCCTCGCCAAGTACATCATTTTGTTTGTTTTGGTCTCAGGTCAAGGACATTTCTTAGATGTAATATCAGCTCACTTAGACTTTGGTTTCTGCAGGACCAGCATTCTGTATTCTATATGATTTATCTTTATGTTCTCAGGGCTCAGGTTCATTATTCCCAGCCACAGAAAGCATTTGGGAAATTCTCTCTGCTGCGATTATTACTTATTATTAAAAGCTTTTGTTAGATACCCTCTCTTTTTGATTTGCAACAACAAAAGCAAAAATATGATTTCCTTTTATCATGAGTGTTGATAAATGCTGGAATTGAATGCAGAGCTGCTACAGACAGCTTTCAATGATTCCCATTCATGAAGATAATTAGTTGTGCTTAGGACAAAACAATGGGGAGGGGGGAACCTTTTAGTCATGTTTTTGTATTACTATTGCAAAAATTCATTAAGACATTATTTCAGCCCTGGTAATGAAAGAGGTTTATGTCTATCAGGCTATAAAAGGGTCCTAGGATGATCAGAATGACACCCAAAGGGCTGCACATTGTCCTGTCAGTGAGCAGCTTCTGGAAAAATTGAAAGATACATGGACAACATGGATTGTTTTCAACTGGCAGCAAAAATTACACATGCCATGCATCCATGTTTTAAAGAAAACTTACAGAGATTGTTTAGAACTAATAGTACGCAGCCTGAAGACATTAAGGTTTCTCAGAATTATACAACCCAAACTGCCTTTCCCCAGACCTTCCTCGGAGCCAGAGCAGAGAAAGTATACATATGTTTAGGACTTAAAGCCATTTTTCAGACTATTCCCTGCACAGGAAACAGACCAGCTGAGAATTCAACACACAGAAACATTCAGAGATATTGCTTGATGCTTGACAGTCTAAGAAATGAACTAGTACTCACAGCAGAACTGTTGTAAGGGAGTGGGGCTGAAGTCTGTATGCAGGCATTTAAGAACAGTCAAGGGTTGACTTAGCTAAGAGTGGTGGGTCATGCCTATGATCCCAGTGCTCTGGAAGTGGGGGCAGGATCAGGAGTTCAAGGCCATCCTCCCTTACATAGTGAGTTGGAGGCCAGTCTGGACTACCTGAGAACCTTCCCGAAAAAATAAAAGGGTTGACTTACATGAGATTCATTAGTGATCTCTTAAAAGAAGATCACTGTACAAAATATTTTGGGAAATTTATACTTGAAAATATAACAGGAAATTTCTCCTCAGAAATTGGTTTACTTGGTCTTACCACCCCCAAACAAGATAGTCTCTTTCTCTCTCGCTCTCGCTCTCTGAAAGATTTTTAAGTCTTTCATTAAAATTTCCTTTGGAAAAAGCCATAATTTTTTAAAAGACTTTGTTTTTATTCTGTGTGCATGAATATTTTGCTCATATGTATGTGGGTATACCATGGGCATGCCTGGTGCCCACAGAGTCCATAAGAGCATGTCAAATCTCCTGGAACTGAAGTTAAGGATGGCTGATACATAGAAGAACTTGAGACCTAGCCATCCAAGTCCCTTCATTTGACTGAATCCAGAGGTGATTCAATCTATCTTGTTACTGTGAGATTAACAGTTTAGTGAGTTGTTGATGAGGTAGAACTGTTTTACCAAATTATCTTTACAGTGAATTTTTCAAAGCACACCTGTATGTTTTTGCAAACTTGCTTAAGCACTCAAATGTTTTTGCTTTGTAAAAAGCACGATAGAAACAAAAAAGGGCACGGAGAGTCGTTATTCCCAATCCCAACAAGTCAGTTGTTCTACCTTTGTTTGGCCCAGGTAATGCAAATATTTTCAGTTACAATTTTGTGGGAAGCTTATCTTTCATTTATACTTTGTCATCCTATATGGCTGTCACAGTTTTAAATTTATTAATGATAGTTCATTGAGTTTTACACTTTTTAACTACTTCCATATTTTTAGGATGCAGTTTTTTTCTCTTAATGATTATAAATAAAAGTGTCTTCTTAGAGTCTTGTTTAAGAATTGAAGGCTGGAACCTGGAGAGATGGCTTAGTGGTTAAGAGCACTAGCTGCTCTTGCAGAAGACCTGGGTTCAGTTCCCAGCACCCACATGATGGCTAACAACTCTCCCTAACTCCAGTTCCAAGGGATCTGATGCCCTCTTCTGGCCTCTGTGGGCACCAGCACTCAAGTGGGATACACACATACACATAAATAATAAATGTATGAAAGAATTGAAAGGCATTTCTTGGAGCAAGCTTTTTAACACAAAGACCCCCATCTCTGATGTGATACGACAGCACAGATTATTCTTCCAGTATAATGAAGCTAAAAGTGGGTAGTTTTTAGGGATAAAAATGAGGGTGGGCACGGAAAAAAGGTGCCAAGGAGTCCAACTTCTGTCAAATCCCCTTTCAAACTTGAGTGTGCAATACCAACTTGAGTGTCCACCAAAGCCACCTGGAGGCCCCATCCCAAAGTGTTCTGATTCAGTGTACTTCAAGATCTGCATTTCTAACAAGCTTCCAGGTGACCCTCATGCTGGCGGCTCCAGACCCTGCTTTAAGGAACTTTGGTTAAAGAAAAAAAAAATCGATTAAATCAGTGTTTAATAGAATTATTGGATGGTAGAGATGTTTTATATCTACAACATCCAATATGGTAACCATGAGACTTATGTGATTATTAAGCCCTTGAAATGTATATAGTGTAACCAAGGAACTGAACTTTAACTTTTGTTCATCTGGACAACTACGTGTGGCATGTGGGTACTGCACTGAACAGTGTAGAATGAGACAGTGGTTTCTTAGCAGTGACTGCACTTTACAATTTGGGATGCTTCCAAATAGATGCCTTGTTCCACCTGCAAAGATTCTGGCTTCATTGAGTAACAGTGCACCTTGGATACTGTGCTTAAATTTTTTTAAAAGAATTCCATTTTATGTATGAGCATTTTGCATGCATGTATGTATGCACATCATGTGCATGTACCTGTGGAGGCTAGAAATGGGCATCACTAAAGTTACAGATGGTTGTTAGCTGCCATGTGGGTGCTGGGAACTAATTACCAAATCCTCAGCAAGAGCAGCCAGTGCTCTTAACCGCTGAGCCAGCCCCAACACTGGGTCTTTAAAAAGTCTTAACAGGAGTCCAGACAATTGCTATTTAATAAACCTCTCCATAACTTAGCTGTCTAAAGCAACCATGTTGTTACCTCCACGGGTTCTATATGGAATTCGGAAGGGGAAAGTAGATGGCTTTCCTCTGCGTTCTGTCTGGGGTATAGCCATTTTAAGGTTCAGTTCGTGGGATGTCCAAGAGAGTTGACAACTTCAACAACCATTTCTAATAAAAAAAAAAATGCTTAAGTTTTACTTCACGTAATTCACAGACTTGGCTCTTGCTTCTTATGGGTAGCCAAGGTTGCAAACTACTGGTCTAGTTTAACAAGCTTTAAAGCCCAGTTTCATAATGTAAGGGCTCTCCAGCCACGTGTGTCTAATTAGAATCCCTCAGTGTCTGTTTTTGCTTGAACCAGGGAGGAGGAAGACAGAATCAGTTAAATCTCCTTAGTGCTCGGTACTTTTAAGTACCAGCTCAGCACAGGCTCTTTTTCCACTGTGGGCCCCAGTTCCCTGTTGCAAGTCATCTCCAGAGTTCTTGGCAAAGCCCTGGGGACCAGTGCATGCAGAGGGTCTGACCTGAGCCATGGTGAAGGGGGAATTCTGGGTGCCACCTGGTTCTGCGACTGTGATATGTGCATGAGCTATCCACAGATCACTTTGGCCTCTTAAGTCTCTACATTGGTGCAGGTGAGGGCAGGACTCTGTAAGGGCATTTTTGTCGTT